ACATACATACATACATACATACATACATACATACATACATACATACATACATACATACATACATACATACATACATACATACATCCACATGTGTGTGTTGTCCATCAAGATGATTATGACCACACTTTTTTCATCAAGTATGAGGCCGATGTGGGCCCGAAACGTTCTTGGACAGTGAGGACAGGGAATGAGTGTTGTACCAGGGAGGCGATACATACATACATACATACATACATACATACATACATACATACATACATACATACATACATACATACATACATACATACATACATACATACATACATACATACATACATACATACATACATACATACATACATACATACATACATACATACATACATACATACATACATACATACATACATACATACATACATACATACATACATACATACATACATACATACATACATACATACATACATACATACATACATACATACATACATACATACATACATACATACATACATACATACATACATACATACATACATACATACATACATACATACATACATACATACATACATACATACATACATACATACATACATACATACATACATACATACATACATACATACATACATACATACATACATACATACATACATACATACATACATACATACATACATACATACATACATACATACATACATACATACATACATACATACATACATACATACATACATACATACATACATACATACATACATACATACATACATACATACATTCATACATACATACATACATTCATACATACATACAGACATTCATACATTCATACATACATACATTCATGCATACATACATACATACATACATACATACATACATACATACATACATACATACATACATACATACATACATACATACATACATACATACATACATACATACATACATACATACATACATACATACATACATACATACATACATACATACATACATACATACATACATACATACATATATACATAAATACGCACATATATACACAACGCTCTGACAGACACATACAAACACTCACATAGATACTCCCGCACGCACACTTACATTAAAACATGCACACAGACACACAAACACACACACACACACACACACACACAAAGACACACACATAAGCTGACATTATAAATCAGACATACGCACACACAGACATATATACACGCGAAGCCACACACACTCACAGATAAACACAGGTACAGACACACGCAGCCACCCACAAATACACACCTACAGACGCATACATGGGCACACACAGACACAGATACAGACACACATAGACATACACATGCAGCCACACACATACATACACATACTACAAACACAAAGACACACATACATGGAAACACACCCACAGATACACAAACACAGACACACACAGACACACAGAGATACACACAGACACACACATATACACATACGAACATAATGTAGACACACACCTACAGACATACAAACACAGACACACACTCACAGGCAGCATACCCACTCACACACAGACACACTCGCAGACACAGAGACATATGCCAACAAACACACATAGACACCAATATACATACGCATACAGACACTTAAAAAGACTTACACACAGTGGTATTGAGGCATGGTGTCCGCGTCAAGTTCTAGATGTTCTAGGTTTAATCCCCACTAATTGCTGGGATTGTTTCACGTGGACTTTGACTTCTAGTAATTCTCCCAGGTCTCTGCGTAGTGAGAGCAGACACCCGTGTGTTTTGTTGCGCACTTAAAATTTCCCTTGGCAGTTGTAAATCGAAAAGAATAGCTTAACGGCGCTGCCCGGGCAAACATTTGGAGTTAAAAATCTACCTAAAGTATTTCAGGATCCTCGCCGGTGCTACAGAGCTTGTGCCCTGTGCTGAGCTTCTTCGGTTAGAAGAAGAGCACTTATGGGTTACTACCCTGTGCCTACGATATTGATTCGTTCAAACCTCAAACACACAAATTGATACAATTACCCATGCAAACACTCATACATACACATAATCATACATACATAATCATGCCTATACATGCATATATGTCACACAGATAGGCATAGATACATATCAAATTATTAATACAATATTGATTATTAACTAAACTTCAGGTGGTATATAATCACTGGTGATCATAACATGAAAAATGTTGCGGTTATATGGTTATTTGTATATGATTATACATTCTTTGTAGTTTTCATTTCGAGCGGAAGATGGTTCCATAAACGAGCAGCAGAATATGCTTAACGTGTTTAAAAAAAAAAAATATTTCTAGGTTTAGGCAAATGTAATAAGCTTAGTCGCGTACTATAATTATGATTGGATTGAATCATTCGGAAGATGTAATTTAGAGTATTTAGAGATATGATTTTTGTGAATGGATATAGCCTTGTTAAACATTAAACGATTACTAAATGGCAGAAGTCTTAGATGTCCGTATAAGAAATTTTTCTCGACGTAGTTTATATCAGAGATTAGATGTAAGACCCGATTTAGTAGAGAACTGAGTCGTTTGACATTAGATTTTTAGCTGATTTTTAGATGAAGAGTAAGAAAAATAATATGCGTGTATTTTCGTCCAAAAAGTGCTCAATTTTTCCAAGTTGATAATCGTTTTGCGCTATTTTTTTGTTTGTTCATGTCATGAACATGGGAACTGCAAGTTAAATGGCTGCCATTCAAATCACCGAATATTCTGTGTTCAACTACAATAATAATATGTTGCTAGCCAATGAAGAGCTCAAGCGGTGGCTTGTTTAAAGCTAATGTTTTGAGATTGTGCTTAGTTGTATTACTATGGAATTAGTTGTATTCATGTTAATTTGCTAGCGATTATAATTGTTCAATTTTCTAAGATTGTTCATATTCTTTATATAAAGAAAGTTCTAACTCATTACAATTATCGTGACTAGTATATACGGAACAGGGAGAACGAGAGAGAATTTTAATAGATGGAGTGTAAATACACATACTAGCTGTACCATGTGTATAAAATCCTCTAGTCTGGTTCTGCCCTTTCTCTATGGGGCATAGGCTCTCAACCAATCCATGTAAATTATTCATATTCTTTGTTATCGCATGCACCTCACTTACTGCACTCCATCTATTAAAATTCTCTCTCCTTCTCCCTGTTCCGTATTATTTTTATACTTGTTATTATTATTATTATTCATTATGCATTATTGTATGTGCCCCTGTGGGTTTCATTGCAAAAGCATTTTAGTGAATTTGTTTTTATGTTGTTTCGAGGTCAGCGTCTTTTCTTCTCCTCTCGACTTTTTTTCCCCTGACTTTTCTCCCAAAGCTCCACATTAGTGATTCTATCGCACTGTTCAATTATATTTATTCTGCGCAGGCACGAATTAATAAATGGTTAACGTTTATTAGAAGTAGTTTAATTCTTCTCAGTCTTCAGACCCCATATATCAGTACCGTGTCCCCTTCACCAGCTATGTGTAGACGTTGTCAGATATCTGAGTTTGTGTTCTACACTTCCTAATATTTCACACATGTTTCATTTGTGCTACCAAGCAGTAATATTATTAATTATTAGTACTGGTTACGAAGATATAATGGCTAGGAAAGCACAAAGGGTTGAGAACTGAAAGAGAAAAGGGGACTATTATGTGTACCGTGACGAGAGTGACATACTCTAACGCTTGCTGATAGATAAATGAGGAAAAGGTAAGCAAAATACACTATCATTCTTGATAAAGTGCAACGTCCCTTTGAAAATTATAAATGGGCTGGGGTTCACCAGATTTGAGTGTGGTGGTACACCTGAGTGGTTGTCAAATTCTGATCTCATATATATGTATCAGTAATGATAGATTTAAACTAGTAACCCGTTCAGGTTCTCATTCTGTAGCTCACTATATACCATTTACATCCAATCAACCCCCCCCCCCCCATACAACACACACACACACACACACACACACGTATGTTTATCAGCGTGTCAGCAATGCTTGTATTATGTGTACGAATTAGAAAACTTAGAAAAAAAAACTGTGCAGAATATGTTTTAATCATTTTTATTAATTTAACGTGATGAAAAGTGTTATCGGTGTCCGTTCATGAAGAACTCCAGTCGTTAGCCATCAGGTAAATTGTAAAACTGCATTTGCCGTTCTGAAAATAAATGAAAACGTATTGTATTAGTTTTTCGTTGTTGTAGTTCGTTTTAATAGGCATGAGTTGTTTATGTAAAATCAAACTAATTACTGTTCTTTCAACATCTCCTTTTCAGTTCCTCTAGCTACATCACATAGTTTTACGGACATAGGGTGTAGTATTGTGGAAAAAAAACATGCGATATTAAAACACAATTAAATAAATCACAGAAAGACAGTACTATGTACACCTAACTTGTGCAATTGATTTAACAGATTCATGGAGATAGACAAACTTTATCTCTGGTGATCTTGTCTGATTTCTGGATGCAATAGACCTACGAAAGCTAATAACAGTATAAAAAGCGTTCACAGCGTGTATCGACTACTACAGCTACCTGCAATTTTTTGGGCGAGGAGAGCCAGAGAAACTTATCCTAGACAAAAGAATATGAGAGACAAATGGCATCTGTTGAACCAGCTACTATCATTGTGTAGGCCGGAGTGTGATGAAAGGGGATTAGGGAAGGGGGGTAGAAGACTTGAATTTGAGATTTAGTGCCCAGTGGTTAGTGCTGTAGCTACGGATTGTGCAGGAAAGGAATTGAATTTTCCACCTGACAGAAAAGAAGAAAAAATCCACAAGCTTGTAGAGGTTTCCAACCCGGGTCTTCCGCTTGAGAGTTCAATGTCCTAACCGTTATAACTGTCGCTCCTCGACAACATTCATCACACGTTTTACATCATAAGTAAGTTGGTAATAAGACAGGTGATGATCTGCAGTAGAGAAATTCGAGCCAGTCAATGAGACTTTACTGTACATTACAATAGAACTTACTGGTTACTGAGCTCTCCAGTTCTGCTCAGCGCAGAATTTTTTACAAGCAGATACCAGTTCACGCTTGGGAAGATTGTCACACAGGGGGCACAATTCCCCGATCTTGTGTTGCCTAAATACGGCATATATCTCCCTGAAATATAAACATCCCATCAGTGACAGAAATACAGTTTTAGCCAAAGTGTGTGAATATGTCTGTGAGGGAAAAGGCATGAATGTAGTAAAAGTATATAAGATACAATCTTAGTTAGAGGGAACTTTTAAACAGTGAAACAAAAAAAATACCCACAAAACACACAGATAGAGTCGTCGTGGTGGCTGGGGGGAGGGGCATGATTTCATGTACAGAAAAAAATAAAAATAAACTAAAAATCAATTAAATCATTAAGAGTTGAAATAAATAGTATCTGATAGCCAACAAGAACTGATTAGTGCGGTATGCAGGCAGGAGAATGGCAAAGTCAGGTTGTCAGTAAACGGAACAACACCAGACCACATTCTGAAATGTTGACCACGCAGTTCCTTGCTGCCAGTAGCAGTCAAACATGTCTGCAGACAGGAGTCAAATTAAGCATCTGATGGATAAGCTGCACAAACGTGTTTGTCCAGCCAATGGTGGTGATCTCTTCAACGCACTCCAGGAAGAGTAGGTAGCCATCTCACAGGCTCACGTGAGACATCTGATTGTATCTATGCCCAGGAGATGCCAGTAACCTGTAACTTTATTAGTAGTATTATTGTGTGGAATGTGAGTAATTTCACGCATTGCATAAGGAAAATGAAGAATGTTAAAATCATAAGTATCTTTGTTCACTGCAGTAGTTTTACCTTGTTTAAAGTTTTGGTTGTGTGCATGTTGTGATATCCTATGCTATAATTTCTCACACTAGAAATCTAAATGTTATTTATGTGTGCCAAAGAACCTCCACTGAATTATAACACCGAGCCCTATGTATAGATGGTCACATCTCTAGGACAAACAAACACGTAAATGAATTACTCAAGGAACACACAAAGGGCTATTTTTCATTTGCCAAGGAGCCAAATAATGATGGATGGAATATATACAAGTATCAAATACGATTGCAAATATTAATAGTAAAGTAACAAGTGGCTTGTACAAGTAGTGAAAACTATTAGCAGCACACCAAGAGAGGTAGAGCCAATTACAATCGTCGTTGTCATCATCATCATCATCATCACCATCGTCATCATTATCATCATAATCACCATCATCATTATCATGCGCCTGGCCGATAAGCATGGGCTGTGTGGTGTGGTCATTCCACCCCTAACTAGAATCACTGGTCGGAAATTATTTGCATCCGACGTAATTCCACAGTTTTTAAATCAAAGATCTTCTGTTTTATTCTTATGCAAAAACAGTTCTGCACCACGGACAGGTTCCAGCAGTCGCCAGGACAGTCTTGAATATAGGAAAGTTCCCAGCAGTTGTCCGCACAGTTTCTATTCAGAAGACGATTTCTCGGACTGACATTCAACCCCACAAGTAGCGATACACAACCGGTGACACAAAGTGTCACTATTCGGATAAGAAAACCCAATGCAGCCGTTAATTTTTTTTAGGGTCCTAACTACAGCCGGGGTGGGGCTTTAAACTAACAACAACAATTAAAAAAATTGCGATTCATAAAGGTTTGGTCCTTCTATCCTCCATAGAGCTGTTTCTTGCAGTCGCCCATTCAGACCTGCATCAGTTGCTATTGTCTTTAGTCGCCTGCACAATTTTAAATCAATAACTGTTTCCTGTTTGCTGACTCTTTGTCAAGTTCTCATGCAGTGCCAGATCTATCCGATCTTGTGTTTTATTTCTGTTGATATTAGTGTTTGCCCATACGACTTGTTTTGGAATATCTCCCCTTTTTCTAATAATTACAGCATTTCCGGCATGACTTTTGATATAGATATATATGTATATAAAAATATACGCGCGCGCACACACACACACACACACGCACAATCCAAAGAATAGAAAGAAAACTATTTACGTTAAAATAGGATGTTTAAGTGAACCCCAGAACCGACATAGATCAAGAGATAATGAAAGAAAGTAGAATAACATTTGGGGCACTGCCTACAGTTAATTTTATTGAATATTTCAGTCACCTGATGCAAATACCTCCAACAATCTCGGCAGGGACGTTCATTACAAGCATATGCAAATGCAACGAGAAGTAGAGGGAGACCCACAAGAAGAACAAGGACTAAGACAGTTGCTGATACTTCAAGATCTAATAACAGACGACAGCATATCAAACAGGCTTCGATGACTAGCCACACGTACCAGCTAATAACAATAACATAATATGAATAACTCGAAAAAGAGAAATCATGCTTCTGTGATATCAAAGGATAAAGATGGCGATGCTTTGGACATATTTACAAAATGCTTCGTGATAGTCTGGCATCGACATCATTCAGATGCGAAAATGAGACGAACTCGGGAACTTGGAAGACCTGTGTAGAAAGGGAAATGAAAGAATGTAAAATGATCTGGTATACTATAGACAGAAAGGCAGAACAACGGCAGCAATGAAGATCGACTGTGAATTCATTTTTGTTAACACAACATAAAGAAGTTGATAATTAATAAATAGCAATTTTTTTTTCAAATCTTATAACAAATAAGTACATGAGCATCATATACAATACGATATACGTTATGTGTCTGAGAACATATACAAAACTTACGGTTCAGTTGTCTTCCCTTCCAAACCTTGTGTAAGGCTACCAAGAAGGCCAAGAATTGTATCCAGTAATTTTGAAGCCAGATCAGTTGCTGTTTTTATAATACCACCGATAATTCCTTTTTCGCCAAGAATACCACCAAGAAGTCCACCTTCTTCTCCACCTAAAATGCCACCTAGAAGTCCACCTTCTCCACCTAAAATGCCACCTAGAAGTCCACCGTCTTCTCCTCCTAAAAGGCCACCAACAAGTCCACCTTCTCCTCCTAAAAGGCCACCAACAAGTCCACCTTCTCCTCCTAAAAGACCACCAACAAGCCCACCCTCATCTTGTCCACCTAGTAAACCAAGAATTCGCTTTTTGATCTCTAGTGAATCTCTCGCCGGTAAAGCGACGGCTACAGTCATCAAAGTGGCAAAGAAACACAAAGACTTCATCTGCAATGTAGGAATTGTGAAACATAGACAATAAACATTGCACCCAACCTCAAGAAATAATGCGGGAATTAAAAAAAAGGCATTTAGAATCATACCTTGGATAAACGGAACAAATCCGTTCATCACTGTGTAATTTGACATTGTTTGAAAAAAAAATTTAAGTATTGAATAGGTAATGTTTAAATCAAAATCCACATCTCCATCTGCACCTGCCAGCGCGGAGTTCCAATTTAATTGTACCTATAAAAGTAAAGTAAAGTAAAGATCCCTTTTCACGCCTTAGGCGCATCGGGCATATGGGACGAGCATCCCATATTTTTACAGATCAATTGGCACTAGGTGGGTAATGTGGTCAGCATTACGCCGGCCGTCTTTTTTTCCCCAGGACAGCCATATTGATACCCATTTTAGGCTGGGTCGACCTGCGACGCAACATACTATGGAAAAAAAAATCCACGCAGTCAACAGCGGGTTTCGGTCGCGGTACGTTGGGATTACGAGTCGGACTCGCAACGCCTAAGCCATGAACGCTGCAATTGTACCGATAGCAGTCTGAGTGTTAATACAAACCCACAAACAGTATAGAGTATGAATAAATAAAAAAATAAAAAAATTTAACCTGATATATCAGGAACACCCACTGTTGAGGACAACATAATTACCTTGAGTGTGTCACAGAGAAGTTAACTGGATTACACAGCAGCGGTTTCTGGACGTCCAAATGACAATGTGAATGTCTACAGAAAGTCATAATTTTTATACAGTTAGAGTGTGATACGTGAAATCTGATTTAGTCCAAACTTTAACACCTGTAGATAGATATATCCATATATTTGCATAACTTCAAATGCTGAACACGGCGATTTCAATGCAAGTGTCGACTGGTCTCTTTGAGACGAAAGGATCAAAACTCTACATTCCCGTTAACGACATCTGCTGGCTCACTTTGAATGATTATTTTCAAGCATTGTTTGACACTTCACTGTTTGATTCAAACTGTTACTACATTATTACTGATCTCCCTCGTGACCCGCTATTGTTTTCTACAGAATTTAGTCAGTTGTTAAGGTCGGCGCGAGCAGTGTTCTCAAACTGTACTTCTTAACTCATACTTGCCTTAACATTTTATATGTGCTTGCATTTAGAACACATATTTTTATCTTAGGTTTGTACAAAGCCTTTGAGTTACCAAAATTAAAAAAAGGTTCTTTTGTACTTCAAAGGCCCATGGTGCTAAACTCATTAATACTGGACTAGATGGACAATGTGGTCATCATCACATCTACAATCTTTGTACCCTATAATATTTTCTGGTACCTTTTCTAAGCTGGGTTGATCTTGAAGGGAGAACCGCATGTTTCTTGAATGACTGACTTTCTACCCCACCAGGACATCACACAAGCGATAAACACCCGATGACACAATGTGCCACTATGTGGATGAGGATCACAATGGAAAGGTCCCAGAAACCGTGTTCAGCCTTTAGGCCACATTTATGGCCAGGCTATAGTGCGGCCCCTGGCAAGATCCAGAGTAGGGTTCAAATAACGAAAAATTTCATCGTGAAAAGGACGGGAAGCTAGTAACATCATCTGTGGCGTTTTTAAACAAAACAAATGATGGCCCACAGGCGAGCGTCTTAATAAACAGAAATATAACTACTTATTGTGAATTACATTTCCGAAATTTTTAGTCGACACCCGAAGAGGCAAAATAGGAAATGAATAATCAGAATAATAATAATAACAATGATAATAATAATAATAGTTATAACAATAATAATTATAATAATAACAATAATAATAATAATACACATATACCCATTGACAAATTGACCCGGTGTCAAATTTCCTACATTGTTTGAGAATGCAATTATGGAAACACATTTTTTAGGATAAATACTGTTTAATTAGAAAACTACATCACATACTGGAGATTTCTCATAACAGCTATGTCCCTATATTCAGCAGCAAGCGCAGAGTTTCAGTTCCAACATTAACAATAGCAGCCATAAAATATATGTCTCAACTTTCCCTTGAGTGCCGATCGTCTACTAGATTCTCTAGTCACTCCTCACAGGACCATTATTTTCCGCATTGTTCACTGGCCTCAAAAGGGCCCTTTCAACTTGTAGCTTGTCATGCTTCATTATAAAACCACGTTGTGTAGAGCCAGCCATTAAATCTGCCTTTTCATTTGGGTTGAGTTAATTCAAGAACCAACATCACAGCACTCGGGGCATTCCCATAAGCGCCCCGTCCCCATCTTCAGCAGCCATCGAAGTGTTCATTTCGTAGTACATCGGCATATCCACGGGAAAAATATCAAACACACTCCAACTTTCCGAGACCTTTGAAGCGATGCTTGCCATTCTTAACAGAGCATACTAGACTCTGCATTTCTCAACATGCTCTGTGAGACGGATACAATCACGACATCTGTATTAAGCTGATTCTCAAGCCAGCGAAAGGCTGCAGTGACTGCCTCTACCTTTATTTTCACACTAGATGTTGTTATGTCATATGACAGGTGTTGTTGCTCTAAGCGACGTCTTTCGCTTTTGCTAAGAACCCCCATGAGCTTGGCCTGCCTTTCAACATAGAGCCACCCGATTAGACTATCACATCACCTGAAAGAGAATTATCATGAATCAAGCGTCGAACTTATTTCGCAGTGCCTGCTAGCCAGTCCCTGCACTCAAGACTCTGTGTGGTCACACCCCTACACAACTCTGACTTTTGCTGTGAAATTCTGACCCATTCATCTCCTTCAATGTTATAGAGCCTAGATACGTGTCTAATTATGTCAGCTTGCCCAATCCAAGACCTTCCTCTTTTCAGTCTGTGACCCTTAGCTCTGTCTACGGCTTCCTGCAGGAGGTGCTTCTTGTCAGCGGCTGCTCTGAAATATAACCTGGCTTGGAGATCCTAACTGTAATAGCAAGTATATGACATACATGACTAACACCCCCCCCCCCCCCCAAAAAAAAAAAAAACAAGGGCAAAGAGCAAAGGTGGACCATAACTATAATACTCCGCTGTGGCTCCAGAGTGAAGTAAAGTATTTCGATCAATAATACCATAGAAAAAAAAATTCAAAATACACAATAGTTGTATTTACCTCTTTCTTAATCAATTAATTTCACTTGTACACCCCCCCCCCACCCCCCCCCCCTCACCCCAAAAAAGGGGTAAACCTTAACTTCTTGTTTGTCTTCTACTAATTGTCCTCCAGTTACAATACCAAGGTATTGTGTAAGGGGTTTTGTGAGGAGGTTGAAGGTGGAAAGAAGTGGAAGGGGGTACAAGGCTCTTCAGGGCTCTCAGTCTAATGTGTTGTATACGCCGATCTTAATTTATTTAAGGCATTTTATAGATCCCTCATTTCTTTGAAGGAGAATAATACTTGTCCTTACTGTGTGTCTATTTTCTTTCTTGAGCGTAACTGTCTGTTGCTGTATGGACACGCTGTGTCAGTCAAAGTTATGACTTCATTGAAACCTAGAGACTCCATAATTGTTCTGTTTCTGTGCCAGTGAAAACTACACAACATACCCATCACTGTCTTATGTGAAAAATCAAACAGACAGCAGCCTGGCAAAATCCATAAGGCAGCAACCATGTGTGAAAAACACCTACAGCCTTTTACTATAAAACATAACTATGTGTAGTTGAAAGTTAAATACTGAATTAAGAATCGACATCATAGCACGCATGACACTCCCATAACGGCTCCATCCTCATCTTCAGCAGCAAGTAAAGAGTTCAAATTCCAGTGGTACAAGGATTTGTATGGTTAAACATCGGTTTACGCCTTTTCCCCGTAAGTTTCAAGCGTCAACCACACCTCCCTGGTAACTCCCCACGGCGACATTCTACTGAGACAGTAAAGATCTATCTCTGCCTTCGCACTGTTCACTCGCTCCAAAAGAGGCCTTAGCTTGTCAATCAGTCCAACACCAATAGGCGCAGAACTGACCAGTCTATTCGCCTGATCATTTCCCACCACACTGGCTCGATTTAGATAACATCTAAAAAAAAAAAAACGCTAACCACTTGGGACTGCAGGGAGCATGCCTGTCTCCACCTTTCTCAACATGCTCTGTAAGCCTGTTACAATTACGGAATGTGTGTACATCTGATTCTATAAGCCAGCGGAAAGCAGCAGTGACCGCCTCCACCACTATTCTCAAACTAGACGTTGTGATACCATGTGCCAGGCTTTGTTGTGCTAAGCGACGTCCATTCGCTTTTGAACCTCTATCTACTTCGTCTGCCCCTCAAGTTGTGGCCAACTACCGCCTTTATTTTATCACTGTAGGCAGGGTGTCTTTGAGCCTGACGATTTACGGCCGCATGGCTAGTGCTGTCGCCACGACTGTGCAGGTGAGGATCCCCCACCCCCCGGCAGAAAATCCCCAGTCTTACAGTCTCCCGCTTGAGAGCCAAGTGTTCTAACTGTTCGGCCAGCAAAATAAATGTATACTCGAATTGTCAGTTTTGATGGGAACATATATTTTCACACGGCTCACCAAAATCTAATTAGTATGCACAAAACAAAGCTTTGTCAGTTTGAATGTACCTTTAATGTTTGGTTATAACGATTCGATTCAGAGAGACGACCTTAACAACATGTGTGGTAACTAGCTGGGCATTGTTTAAACGTCAACTACACAGTTATGTACAACAAATCAAAGGACAGTACTCCCATGTCACACCTTCAAGAGAGATATCTGTTAGGATCATCAAAGTAGCCGGAGAAATGAAAGGGACATATTGTCACCTAAACTAGTGACAGACACGATGATATCATATGACACAATTTCACCATAATGTAATACAATATATCTATATTGATGTTCCCATTGTTAGACAGATCATCGTAACGCAGGACTGTTTTATTTTGACAGTTTTAAATGTAATGTTATTCATAAAACACAAAAATACTTTTGAAAAGCCATCACCATCATCATCATCAACATCATCAACATCACCATCATC